TCAGAAAATACGGAAAGAATGTCAACAGTTGGGACAGCAAGGTCACCTTGAATCTAACAAAAGCCTCTAACCCTTGGAAAGGTATTTGCTCCATTTATGATATCTATATTTCCTTTATTAGATATAAAGTAGGGGATGGGGCCAAAATCAAATTCTTGACTGAGAAGTTACTTTACCCTCCTGTATTTCAGACTCAACCCCTGCTTCAAACTTGAACCTAAACCTAAGAAAACACTTAAGGGATGTGGAGATTGAGGATCTTGCCGAACTCCTACATGCCTTAAGAGAGGTCTATGTTTCCCCTTCAAACAAAGACCAATGAATCTAGAAGCTCCATCCAGCCGGTAAGTTCACAACTAATTCCTTTTTCAGAGCCTCGGTATCGGGTGACACAAACTATGGGTTCCCTTATAGAAGAGTTTGGATTGCTCACGTACCCTCTAGAGTCTCTTTTTTTGTGTGGGAGGCTTGCTTGGGGAAAATAAGCACCTGTGATCTTTTACAGAAAAAGCTCAACGGAAGGCTGTACATTTCTCCCCATGTCAGTAATGGTGAGTCGGCAGACCATCTCTTCTTACATTGCTCAGTAACGACGAAGATATGGCTTTACTTAACCTTAGGGTACAGCTGGGTTTTCCCAGAACACATAGAAGATTTCTTAAGAAAATGGCAAGGAAGTGGACTAGGCAAACGGGGGAGAATATACTGGCATACGGTAGCTCAAGCAGTAATGTTGGGTGTTTGGGAAGAAAGAAACAGTCGCATTTTCGATAATAAAGCTAGATCACTTGGAGACTTAATATCTGATATAATATATACTTGTGCAATCAGTGGGTGCAGAATTCGGACACCATATGCCAGTATATTCTCCCCCGTTTGCCTAGTCCACTTCCTTGCCATTGTCTTAAGAAATCTTCTATGTGTTCTGGGAAAACCCAGCTGTACCCTACTAGGTTAAGTAAAGCAGTAATGTTGGGTGTTTGGGAAGAAAGAAAGTCGCATTTTCGATAATAAAGCTAGATCACTTGGAGACTTAATCTCTGACATAATATATACTTGTGCAATCAGTGGGTGCAGAATTCGGACAGCTTCAAAGGAATATCCATGAATATGCTTCAGCAGAATGTAGTGGAAGTATTGTTCTCCTCTCCCAGTCCTTCAAGAGGGAAGAGCATCCCCCATCAAAGAGAGGAGAAGGAAGTGACTTTATATTTTGATGGAAGTGCTACAGGAAACCCGGGAATAGCAGGAATCGGTGGAGTATTTAAGAGGAGGGATGGCCAGCCACTCTTTGTGTGTATTTAGTGGACCAATTGGAGTTGCAGATTCCACAACAGCAGAAATTTTAGCTGCTTTAGCGGGGCTCCATATCACGAGAGACCTAGGCTTCACTGATCTAACAATCAAAGGAGACTCCAGCAACACGATAAAGTGGTTAGGGGAGAAGGAAGGAGGTCCATGGAGACTGGCCCACTATATAAATGAGGCTAAAGATCTGTTAAATTCCTTATCTGTAAACCTTTATTGGATTGCTAGGGAATTAAACTCTGTAGCTGATAGTTTGGCTAAAACTGGTAGACACAGGGATTTTTTGTACAGTGATAGAAATATGCCTTTATAACCTGTGTGTAGCCTGAATGTACATCATCTCATGTACTCTATGTTTTCTCAATCAAGTAAACCTCTTTTCTCAAAAAAAAAGAAGAAAATTGGGATGAGGAAGATGATGGGCTGAACAAGTCGTTCAATCCTGAAGACTAGCCAATGTTTGAAGGGCGGTTTTGTCTTTCTTTTGTCAGTTTTGCATCTTTGAAAGCCCTGTTGTATGAAAGGGGGGTCTCAGGTTTCCTATTGTTTGTTTTGTGTCTCTGTAAGCTTTTCTATATGAGGGAGGGGAGGGGGGTGGGGTTCTCAGTTTAGTCTTGTGTCTTTGGACACTTTGTTGTGGTTGGTAGCGGGTCCAGGTGTTAACACCCCTGTAGTGCTGTAATCTGCTTTTACTTTTCAATAAGTTTTTTCTTTTACTCTTTAAAAAAAAATAACCACCCCAGTCCAAGAAAATTTTTCAGCTTTAGAAAAACATTCACAATGTCTGTTAGAATAGACATCCACAGGGTATGGGTTCCAATTGTGGAATTTTTTAGATTCCATCATATCTCCTATGAAAAACCATAAACACCCCCAGTCCAAGAAAATGTTTCAAGTTTCAACTTCACTTTGAGCCAATAACAGAACCCTGCCCCTTCTTCCTGGAGCTGTCACCTTGCACTCCAGTCACTACAGTTCTTTTGTGTTAATTACATAGAGAAAATAGTGAATACATGATAGGATGTATAAAAAATGCACAAAGTATTTTTAAAGCTTAAAGGGTGGCTGGATAAAACATCTCAGCTCTGATTGTAATTTCTCACCCTTTAATTTAATGAAAATTTCTGTTAAAGATAAAAAAAAAAAAGAACAAGTATGGACAGATAGTCCCATCCACAATAAAAATTATTCAGGCAAGGACCTGTCAATATTAAAAACCAAAAATTATTCTAGCCCCAGTTTATCTAAGCCATCAGCCTTGGAATACAGCTCTCTAGGGATCCATCAGATCTGAACCAWTAAAAAAACAGGTGCCCCTAGAACAACCACTTGTGGATGGCATTTGAAGTAACTTGGTAGAAGGAACCAACTTCTATGGTCTTTTCATCCTTTTGTGGTTATTTGGATCATATGGCTTGAAAGGAGCTTTCATATCTTCAATGGTTTAATTCTGAGCAAATCAACTGATCCTCTATCATAGTCATTAGCTCAAAAGCAATTCAGGGATGTCCCCCATACCTCATGTTTTGTTTTTGAGTATCTTCCAGATTGTATAAAGATATTCTACATAATCTAAATTTTCTAAAGAACCTCATTCAACATATGTTCTCATGTAGGTGCTCTTCATGCTTCTGATCTCAACAACACTAGTAACACTAATAATACTTCAACAACACAAAAAGAAGAGGATGAATGAACATCTGCAAACTCTTTTGGACTGAAAGCATCAAGCAGATCATGTCAATGGTTTTTCCATAGCACTATTTCTTCTCACCACCACCAATTGGCCTGGTTAAAATGAACTTTGGTGGATGCTCATGAGGAAATATGGGACCTTCAGGCATAGTCACATTTTCAAATATGGGACAAAGGTGGCGTTCAGTAAATCTGAAGTCTGAGGGGGGGGACTCTGAAAAAGCTCTGAAAGCATTCAGTGAAAATTTTGCTTTTCTGCTTTTGCAAACATCTGAATATAGTGGAGTTGTTTGGTAATCTGAAAGATGTGATATCTGAAAATTGTGCAATTTATAAATTTACCCCTCAAGTTGTTATATAAATAAAATAAATGAAAATTATTAAAATAATATGATAATATAGAAAACATTATAAAATATTGTGAATTGATACAAATAAAATATAAAACAAATAATAAATAATATTAAAAGAGTAATAAAAAGATTAATATTATAAAAATAAATAAATAATAAATAATATCATTAATAATTAAAAAATTTAAGAAAGATAAAATAGTAAAAATTATTATAAATATAATAAAAATGTAAAAAAACAAAAGATATTAATAAAATAATAATAATAACAATTAAAATATATAAAAGATCATATAATATTATTAAAAAATATAAAATACAATAAAATAAATTAAAATTGGTAAATCAATAAATGAAAATGATAACAAATTTTAAAAGCAATAAAATAAATTAATAATAACCATCTTAATTTTTTTAGTTTTTTATATAAAAGATTAGAATTCTAGAGAGAGTGTGAAAAAAGAAAAAAATATATATATATATAAAAAAACTTAAAACGGGGTCGAATTTTTGGTCAACAACAGGAGGGAAGATGAAAAACAGGGGTTGGGAGACCAATCATTTTTTATTAATTTTTAGAAAGGGCACAATTAAGATAAGAGAGAAATTTTTCTCTAAAAAAACCTTTTGTTTCATTTTAGAAAGGGCACAATAAGAACAGTAGCAGCCACTGCTCCTCCCCATCTTCCCATCCTTCCTTCCCCCTCTTTCTCGTTCTTTCTCTTTCCCCTTTTTGCATTCTTTTTACTTTCTTCTCCTTTTGCGTTCTTTCTCTTTCTCCTTCCTTCCCCCTCTAGTTTGTCGACTCTATTCACCACAATGAAGATGAAGGAAGAGAAGGAGGGAAAAAGTGATAGTGAGGACAGTTGGAAAAAACGCAGAATAGAGTTCTTTTCTTTCCAAAAGCGCAAAACAAAGCAGCTGATTTGTCCCCTATTTCGGTAGCGAAAAACACATCTAAGAGTGGAAAGACCAGAARGGCAATGTTGGGTTTTTTATTTTTACAAATAGGACAATTGGAATCAAAGTTTTGTTCGCTACCTCCAAATGCGCTCAGAGGCAACTTAAATGCTGAACAATTCGGAGATATTTTCGTCATTTGAAGAATCGGTTTGGAGGTAGCACTGAACAATCTCCAACTGCTGAAAAATCAACATTTTCAGCGCTACCGAACACCACCTAAGAAAAAAAAAAAATTGTTCTTGGAAGTTGGATCAACCAATGCAGGGAATTCATCATTTTCCCATTGAACAGAAATTCTATATCTAGAATAGCATCAGAGAGATGGTTGTGCATTAGAAATGATAGGCTTAATACTGAAGGTGATTTTAAGATTGTGATTAATCCGGTGCTTACCCAGGATGAAGGGCCTTCATCTCTCCACATATCATTAGAATATCAATCCTTGACAAACTGGCCTTTTCCATGTTCGCACCATACTGCAATCCTAAAATCTTGTTTACTATGAAATGTCTTTTAAACGTGTTTTCATTTATTCCTTCTTTGAATCAAATACTGAAAAAATGCATACCATCCTCTCATCCTTAACAAAAAAGCATAGCAGATACCTGCAGCCAAACTGGCCTAAAATCAAAGCATTATTATTTTATTATTAGTGAGTTAGTTGCTTAGAAGTGTCCTTACCAATATTGAGACACCAATGACTTGTTAATGTTGAAGGATCTTAACATAAATTGAGGTCGAACTCCCCACTGTGATACCCATGTACTTCCACAAGGTATGATCGCCATTGAAGATATTCTCTACATAGGAAACATATTTGTCAGAAAATTTACCAAATCAACCATTAACAGCACAAATAAATATACTAAGATACATTATTTTCTGCATCAGAATGATTTTATACTAAGAGACTCTTCAGTTCAACACGGCAGGTTTTTTTTATAAATAACAAATGCGACAAGCATTTAGACAAAGATAAATTTAGCATCAACTCACACAACCAAAAAAGTGTACATTGCTGGGCCTCCCAAGAGGCCACCCACAACTGACAACAGAGCAAAAATAAAAGACAACAAACAAAAAACAGCACTGATTACATATTTCACATTAGCGTCCAGTCCTGGGCATCCCCAATCTAAAGAAGATTTCCCAACCCCAGCCTTAGCCAAAGAATCACCCCAGCCTTAGCCAAAGAATCACCCCAGCAAGTTGGCACTCCTAGGTACCCATTTGAATGAGGCATTCAAATCAATACCTAGAGCTTGAGCCATTCTGACTAAAGGTCTGAATTTTCAAGGAATTTGGTCTTGCCTTGCCATCCAGCACAAAACCATTTGACAGTCACCCTCAACTTCTACATTCCTCAAGGACCTCAACTCCTGCCTAACCAACAACTTCAAACCCTGAACCAAGGCCAAAAGTTCAGCTCTTGAAGAATTTCCTTGTCCCACCAGACCAGAAAAGCTTAGAATAATATTGCCCTCGTGGTCTCTAACAACTCCTCCCACCCCCAAGGGCCCTGGGTTTCCAAGGCTGCAACCATCAAAATTGAGCTTGAGCACCTCTAGAACAAGAGGGGACCAATCTAACATCCTTTGTTGTCATGTATGCTGAAACTCTGTCACCACCTGCCATTCCCTAAGCAGATCATTGATAGAAACACCTTGAAAAGCCCCACATACCACAGCCCAATGAGCTACCCTTACTTTTGTAATCCATAGGTTTGCATTTTTCTTCAAAAATCCCCACATTTCTTTCACACCATAAATCCCATAGCACCACCCTGCAAATGACAGGAATCATTCAACTCCCAAATTAGACAAACCTCTGAAAATGATCTCTTATACTCTATTTTATACTTGGGGGTATTTATAGACCCAGATTTCACACTCTTCTACACACTTAATACTAAAGCTTTCTAGGCTCATGACTTATAGCTAAGAAACATCGTAAGTTCGTGAATGATGGCTTGGTACTATACATTAATTCACACAAACAAACAGAACCCCTGTTTAAATGTATTCTACTAATTGTTTTTATAACTTGCTATCCACTCATCCCCATACTTCATATCTCACCATTTTTTCCATACATGGTTGTAATTTCATACTTCTTATCCTAATGTAATTTCACACAGTAAACCATCTGATGCTCAATAACGGGTTGCATCATAGGAAGTACAAGCCAAAAGAATACATGTATGATACAAGAGTTGTTACTGTTTGACATGAATCTTAACCAAAATATGCATGAAAACAAAAGTAATAGTGATTCAAATACACGTTTGTCAGAATATTTGGCAAATAATACTTCATAAATCCTGAAGCAACATCTTCATATGGATTAAAGGCCATTGCCAAATATTGATCCCAGCTATTTTGGGTCTTAGGAGGGGTGGACCGGATACAGTCCTAACCTTTGGCCTTTTTTTTGCACAAAGTGGCCACTCTCAGCATCTTCATATGAGTAAACTCAAATATTCCTTGAGACATGTCCAAGGTTTAAAAGAGTGAGGAGGAAAACAAAGTGTGAACAAAATATGGATAACAAATTTCACATAACTAGTACCAATCAAAATCTAGTGAAAAACAACTATTCTTGGACAATGAGAGGATGGGATAAGCTAGATTGGATTTAAAATGGAGTAACAGTTTAGCATTCCATTAGCAAACTATGAAAAACAAAAATACTGGCACTATTAGAATTTCCACATGTTCTGCAAATGATGCTAAGGATTGAGGATGAAAAAGACTACCATAGCTTCAAAGAACATAATTCTTTAATAGTAAACAATGGAAAATAGTTCCCTACAAAGATCATTTAAAATTATTTCTCAAAAAAAAAAATGCACCTTTTTTCTAGCCACAATGAGGGAGATGACTTATCACTAGTCTATTTCATGCATCTGGTAGAAGACAATAAAGTGCCACCAGCCACAACATCCATATAACCTGAAATCTATGGCATGTTTCTCCCTAATGTTCAACAGTATTTTCTTCAAGCTAAAATAGAAATGGGGAAATTGAAAATTTCAAAAAAAAAGAATCCGTGCCTTTCCCTGTGCCAGAGATCTACAGGTCTGAAAATTAACTCAAAGGGGAACATAATAAGAAAACACATCCACACACCATGTGAAGGTGATTAAAAAATCACTTCCACTTGTTCAATTGCCACCTTAGCTTCCAGTATAAAGATTCATAAGCTGTGAAAATGCCTCCAATGGACAGTCCATGTAGGAAACTCTTCGCTGTGAGAACTCATCCTCCATGGGTCCATTACATTAAGTCGCAGGTGTACCAGCAAGATTTTCATTCCAATGTAGCATGGTTTCGTATCCAAGGCCTGCTGTGATGGATAAGTAGAAGTGTAGAACTGTCATGTAGATCATTGCCTTGAAAAAATAAAACAAATTAATTTTAACCTAGAAGCTTTTTTCTCTGTCACACAGTTTTGCAAAACTACCTCGTTGTCTCTCAGTGCACTTTTCATGAATTTATCGCAGTTTAACAGTATTCTGTTCTCACGAGTTTCATGAAACCCTTACAAGTTCTGTGTTCTATCTCCGAGATTAAGACCACTTTCCAGGTGTTGAGGAAATTTTCGTTTATCGGCATTATATATTTTCTCCCATTACTTTACCCTTCAAGTCAAATCAAATCTAACAGACTTTGGGACATAATAAACCTTTCCATCTGTAGTAAGATCCTAATTTATCAATGATTCAACATTTGAGGTAAGAAACATGATAATACTGGATATTATTCATCAAAAACAAATGAACACAAACAAATATTACATATGAAGTAGTAAATATGTAATATATAAAGAAGCCTGAAAAAAAATCCAAGCGCACCGGTATTAACAAGTTTTTCCATAGTTTGCTAAAAAGATTGCGTTATTCCCTTCTATTCTTTCTCGAATAACCATTATGGTCTGGTTGGAGAATCTAAAATGCCTAAAATTAGATTCCGCTTCCTCCAACAAGCAAACAAAAAAGTGCATACACTCACGCACAAGAAAAAAAAAAAAAATCTTTCTGAACCAAACAGAGAAATGGTGAATAAGAAAAAGGTGGCTTTAATTCAATAATATAAATATTTTAAGAAAGAATACCATCTTGAAAGGATACAAGATTGATGAATTCAAACTCACTATTCTACGCTATCTCAGGGAAGAATCTATAATTTGGAGAGAAGCACTATTAACATTTGAGCTCGGCCAATAAAAAACTAACCTGGTTGTTCTTCTTCAACTATCGACTTGTTCTTCTTTTTCTGGCAGTGAAGGTTTGTTTGCTTGGGGTCTGTTGTTGATGCAAGGAGCTGCGACAGAAAAAGACGAGAAGATAGATGCTCTCGGCCTTCCTTGCCGAAGATGAGGCTCAAAAGAGGAAGAGCTGTTCCAGAACCAAACCTGATAAAGCGCTCGTACGTGCCTCTCACGGAGAGTTGTGATACTTCCCAAAGCTTCTCAACACCGAGAGTTTGGTATATTATTATCAATCAGGACGGTCCAATCTCGATCAGAGTCGTCAGACCCAAGACAGAAGTATCGACCGGCTCACCCCACAGATTGAAATTAGAACCATGTGAATCAACCAACGTAAACCATATTAGATGTTTTTACTGAGTTCACATATGTGACCCGGTGTCACGGGGGTAGTTCTACGGCGGAAGAAACTCGTGCGGACAAGCTTGTTATGTGCTTAAGGCTAGGAGTTGCCCGATGAGATGACTTCACCAAGGTCAGTAGCACTAGATCATGACCTCAAGTCGCATGGTCRGGGCTTTCGACTGGCTCTGGCCAGTTCATGGGAGGCACCACTTACGTGCTAAAGGGGGAAGGCCATGATGTGAGGCGACTTGGCGCCAATGTGAAGGGTCTCCTGTAAGCCGATGATGTAGGCACCTATGTGCCAATGATGATAGGCAACCGCTTGGACCGGAACACACCCGTGYGTTATAGGCAACGAGATATCTCGTTCAGCTTGGGCAAGGGGTTAGTGTGGTGAAGGGTCATGCTTGAGATAGGCCTGCATGCCAAGCCTCACTTGAGTGTCAGTGGCGCAGTGCTGGTCCATGCACTGTCCCCATGAGCATGTGTGCGCCCGTGAGGAACCCTGGTAGCCATGCTAGCCATTAACCAGGGCCACCCCGCAAGGGATGAAGGTCTAGGAGTGCCAAGGTTAGGCACCCAAGGAGGTCAACCACCCATCCTCAAAGAGTATGTAAATCTTTTAGAGGTCTGCCTAAAGATGACATCACTTTTCCCAAAAATCTTATAGGCAAAAATGACARTGGTGTCCCTTAACGTAAGCTTGCCAAGCATAGGCAATGCTAAGCTTGTGTCAGACCGTGACACCGGGGCACCCCACAATGCCCCACGACACATCCCCACCTTGTATCAGGAACATCTCCCATTATTAGACATCACTAGGAGATATTCCAATACAAGGTAGGGATGTGCTGTGGGCACAAATGTGAACTTGTTTTTACTTTTTTGTTGGAAAATTCCATTTTAATACCTTGAACTTTGGGTAGTGTCAAGTTAGTACTCAATCTTTCAAAAGTGTTAATGCCTTATCTAAACTTTCAAAAAGTGTTAGGTTGGTCCCTGCCATAAACCAACTGTCAATTATTTGTTTAAAATATCAAAACTATCCTTCAAAAGAAAACATTGTTCGTTGTCTTCTACTTTGATACTGAATCGATTGAGGTGCTTGAGATTACAGACTAATAAAGTCATTATCTCCTAATTTAGATTTGAAACACACTATTGTCTAGTTATTTCTTTGCTTTCAATTATTGTTTTCCTCTATCACATTTCATGTTTTTTCTTTGAAGATAACCGGTTCGGTCTCAAGGTAGAGGACAATGAACTATATCTTCTTTTGAAGGGTAGTTTTGACATTTTCAACAGATAACTGGCATACAATTAACGACAGGGACCAACTTGACACTTTTTTAAAGTTTAGGTACCATAGTAACACATTTGAAAGTTCGAGTACTAACTTGAATTTCCCTTGTTTTTTTATCACGCGCCCTTAAGGGTGTATTTTTAGAGTTCAACTAGCAAGGGCCATGAGATGTACAGGTTTTATTAAGTGAAAATAAAACAAAAGAAACCCATAAGAATACATAATTTTTTATATTTTAATTTTCAAATAATTAATAATTATTTATCTTTATATATATTTTTTATAATACAAAATTAACAATATTTAATTTCAATCAAATTAATAGTTTCATCTCTAATAAATAACAATATTTAATATAGTGAAAATGTATAATTATTAAAAATAAAGTTATAACAAAAATATGACAAATAATTACTCAATATATAATAAATAACTTATACAAGTATAATAAATACAATAAATAATGAAAATATATTAAATTAATCAATAAATAGTGTAATCTCTAACAATAGTTTAATATCTATTAAATATTAAGCAATAAATTATAACAAAAATACGTAACTACTGAAAATAAATTTATAACAAAAATACAATCAATCCAATAAATTAAATAATGATAGTTTAATCTACAATAATTATTGAAAATGTATATATCACAAAAATACAATAAATATTAATTTTAGTATACATATATATAATAGATATAGATAAAGATTTTAAAACTATTATTAATGAATGTTAATTTTCTGAAAATTCTTTTATAAAAGTATTAATTGATACAAGTGAAATGGTGTTTTTATTATTAGTACAATAATAATTGTAATTATTATTCTACTCTTGAATGTATATTAAGAATATTTTTTGAAAATTATTAAAATTTTTGTTATTACATATTTTTTTATTAATTCTAACAATAATATTTAAATTATTTATATTTTATATTCTTATTATCAAAATTAGTAAATCTATTATAATTATTTTTTATTTTTACTAAAATTTTAAAATGATTAAAGTTATTTAATTTATTTACGCCTCAGAAATCGGGAAGCCATGKCTTTGAGCAACGCCAAATTTGGCATTTCCTGGAGCTGCAGCTCGTTGCTGCCAACAGGGCAGTGATGTGGCATTGGATAATGGGTATCAGTGCTAAAAACGTTTCCTGGAGCAATAGTACCAAACAAAAATAGTTGTTGTTGCTCTAAGAAACGTCCTATTTGGCAGCAACGATTCCAAACAAAAACAAAGGCACGGTGCTCTAAGCCACACATCAGCAGCATAGTTTTTTGAAGTATATGTTTTATGAGAAAACAATGCTGCAATTGCAACATCGATGCGAAACATATACATAATCATAGAACCATGAAGTGTATGTTTGGCGTCGATGCTACAGTTGCAACACCGTTTTTTGCTGCTGATGTGTGGTTTGGAAGCACTGTTTTCTCTTATTTGGAATCGTTGCTGCCAAGTAGGACGCTTTTTGGAGCAACAACAACTTTTCCTATTTGGTACCAATGCTCAAATAAACGTTTTTTGCACTTCTACCCATTATCCACTACCACATCATTGCCCTATTGGCAGCAACAAGCTGCAGCTCCAGGAAACGCCAAATTTGGCATTGCTCCAAGCCATTCCTTCCCAATTTCCAAAGCGTGGCTTGAAGCACCTATTTTCGATAGAAAAACTGTTCTAAACATAATGTTGTTTCATGGAGCACCATTTTTTTCTTACATAACACTGATGCGACACCGTTTTTTAGAGCAACAACATTGGTTCCATGATAGAATTATATAAGATAAATCAAAAGCTACAAGTGCCAAATCCTATCGTTTGCAAAATTGACAAGCTCTTACCTTACTATTTACATATTGTCTTAAAGTACCTTTGAATTTTTTGACAATTGTCTAAAACATCCCTTGCTGATAATTTTTCGTCATACTTCGTTCACATGTAACATCACGTTAATGGTAATTATTTTAAATTCCTAAAATACACATATTGTTCAATGTTGTTGTTGGAAGTTGCAGCGGTGGTGGCGGTGATTTTGGTATGTCGTCGCATGTGACGGCGACCATTGTAACTTTCAAACGACAAAAGTTTGGTGAGAATGAGATTGTCATCTATAATATTTGAGCAACTACTCGTGTATCGTTTGCATTTTTCCTTCCAAGCATCTCGATATTTTATTGTTGCAGGACTATGGCTTGGATTTTAACTCAGAAATCCACACTGTGGCCTGTAAGGCAAGACATTTTTTCAAGTCAGTAGCGCAAGAGAATTGGTCTCTAGATGATGGAAGAAACCTAAAGATTTCCAAGATGCATTCATCGGGCAAGGTTTGTTAGATGGTTAGATCCAAACCACGAAGAGGTTCTTCTAGTCAAAAAAGAAGTATGCATAAACAATCTCGTAAAAGAACTATAGTTTCATCTGGTGATTTTGATGAAGATGACAAATTCATGTTAGATGGGACTAAGGAGGAGCRGAAGTTTGTCAAATTGAGACACCAAGTAGTTCTTATCGTTCCAGGGAAAGCGAGTAGAAGTGATTGCATAAAATAACAAGTAGAGGTGCAAGTGAAGACAAAGAAGAAGAAACATACGGTGGTTATTGTGACAAGGAATTTATTCCAGATGGAATTGATTTTGTAGATGAAGAGGAGATGGAACTTTCGAGATCAAAACCCTAAAAGGGTTATTCTGGTAAGTAAAAAACTATGCTCAAATAGTTGGGTAGAAGAGCCAGGTTGCCATATGATTATAATGAGGATGAAGGTACTTGTGATGATGGTGACGATGAATTCAGGTCATATGGAATTGACTATGTAGATGACGAGGAAGAGTCGTTAGTAAGAGGAGTAAGGGGAGAAAAGCGTACAACACAAACAAAAAGGTATTTGGAAGGAGTAAAAAAAGGAAAAGGAAGTCCAAGGTTTCGAAGAAGCAAATGAAACGGAGGAGGAGGTCCAAGGTATTGAGGAAGAAAGCAATAAGCTCTGATGATGAGTTCATAGATGACAACAGGCCTGTGCGAAAGAGTAAGAGGAAGCATGGGAAAAGAAAGAAGATCGTTGTGCACTTAGATTAAGATTTTGTGAGCTTTAGATCTTCATATTATGAGTACACAATCTCCGAGGAAGAGAGGGAGTAGGTCGGAGAAGCCAACAGTTTTTGTGGAAATTTGATAAAGTCCAAAAGAAACTCATCTCAAGTTGATGGAGATATAAACCATCAACAAAGAAAAACTCAAGAAGGAAAGGGAAAAAGAGAAGGTTGAGGATTTACATAATAATGTTAGGAAGTAAGTTTGTGGAAAAGAGAAGGTTCATAATCAAAATCAGAAAAAAAGAAAGAAAAAGAAAAAGGTCAACGAAATTTCTAGACCCGATTCCTTTGGTAACTGATACTCGGATCAGAGATTCATTTTAGAAAACCACGAGATTTTTCAATCTAAAATTATATGCATGAGGGAGATGTCTCAAATATTGTTTTGGGTTTTGGA